ACTTTTGGCCCACCCTGTATATTGAGACGATGTCTATTTTTCTCCTCTCGTATTTCCTTCTCTCTCTCTCTCCTTGTTCGCATCCTCTCCCTCGCATATAGTCCTACGTTGTCGCTCTTCTTCTTATTAACTACTTGGGAAGGGAAGATAGAATGGATTGGAAGTGGAAGAAAATGTATGTCATTAAAAAATTTTAATCTCATTTTATTATCTCAATTTATCAAAATACATCACCCCGTTTATGGGTTTCGGCAAGAATTCCTTTTACGGCATAACCCATTAATGCGCACTTTATGATCGAAATAAATTCACAATTTTCGGTTGAATTTTTATAGTACTTGTCGTGTAGGATTCTAACTGCATCGTTCGGTGTATCGCATTTTTTTCGCCACTCATCCACATATCTTGTACATGCACAACGATTTCTTCGAAGCTTTCATGTACAGTTTCTAGATCCGCATACAGTTGAAAATATATGCAGTCTACACAGTGTTCCAGTTCAAATAAAAATGATGTAACGATTGCGCTCTACTCCTCCCGGTTCTGGAATTCGGACGGGACTCCGAAATATGTTTGTGCTTCGCGGAACTTAATCAGACGCGCGGTTCTGAATAATCGGTGGAGGAGTTAGCGTTCTTTCGGTCGGGGTTTGACGTGCTGTGTGTCGGTTTACATAAATCCTCCGTTCCTCCTATGTGCCGAATATGCTCAGCTCCAGGGCCGTCGGGAGGAACGAAGGGGTTGATCTTAATTACTTAGTGAGGTAGTCGCTTGGAGGGATCGGGAATAAATCGGACACCGTCTAATTCGGTTGAAAACGATAGGAACGAGGTTTATTCAAGGATAAATACAACGGAATCGAGGTAATTACAATGGGTCCGCCCTGTGATCAAATATAATGGAAAGGAAAAGATTAGTATTACAATGGGTCCGCCCTGTGATAAAATATAATGGAAAAGACAAGGATTAGTCGGATTATAATATATGGAAAATACACAATGAGATCGGAATACGGAAAATAACACGCAGTAATCTGGATTTTACACTGGTACGGAGAGTACGGAGTTAGATCGGAATACGGAAAATAATAAGCGCGATTATCTGGATTTACAATAAGGTACGGAAGACTATGCAACCGGATCGGAATATAATCGGAGTGGCTATCACCAGAACTGGTATCGTTGGAACGATCGGAGAGGGCGTTATCTACAGGATCCTCGAGTATTCTGTAAGGAAGAAAGTGACGGGATTAACGCTACGGAGCTTAATACTAAATTAATCAGGAATCTCTTTTCCCACCCGAATATTCCCCCCCTGAGTTCTACACCGGTCAGGATACAGGGAAAAGGATCAGGTCAGGACAGGAACACGCCCGAGCAGCGCCTCGTTATGCGTGTAGGTCAATAGTGATTGTACACCGAGGAGCACCCCGTTAGGTGTACGCTACTGCGGAATCACTCCGTCCCCGTGAGACACGGCGGTACCCGTTATCACGGGGGGAACGGAGCCAGGACAGATACAGGAGACCGGTACGGGAAATTTTGTAGCATGTGTACGCCGAGGAGCACCCCGTTAGGCGTACGCTACTGCGGGACGGGGCCCACAACGGAGTAGTGCCTCCGCTGTGTGCTCCGGTGTGGTATATAGCCGGAGACAGGAGCACCCATTCAACTCCGGCTTATACCTGCAGCGGAGGTACCCGCTGCCCGGTGTCGACGGTCGGAGCACGAAGCGTCGACTGAGTTAAAGCGCCTGCTCCGGAGGGGTTTTTATACCCCCCGAACGTAGGCGCGCGGGGAGAGGCGGCGGGGGCAGGCGCGGCGTTGCCGGCTGCCGCCGACGCGGCAACCGCGCATTATCGATTTTCCAGCCGCAGCTGGTAGCGCCGTCTCTTTCTAACGGCCGCGCCTCTATTTCTCTCTCTCTCTCTCCCGGAATTTCGGCTCTTTAGCTACCGGCCGCGCCTCCCCGGCTATCCCCGTTACAATGATATGGTTGATGGTTTCATGTACATAGAAGTATTATTTGATGTTACTTTTACAATATTTCCGTGGCGCGTTCTAACTAGTTCTATAGCTAAATGATTAAGCTGTATCGCTGACGATGATGACGCATCTGTTGCCTTTAGCAGCTGGTCTATTTTTGATTAATTATTTCTGTATTCTTTCCAAATTGATTGATCTAACTCCATCTGATGTCCTTGATTATCGCCGAGAATTATTTCTACGTAGGATGCACGAGGTACTACTCTGATCCCAATATCTATGTATTTGAATGCTGTAGATGTCAGTGGTAACCTGCACATGATACGCGGTGGGTTATGAGATTCATCATCAGAACTGAAAGAATGTATAAAGTAAAATAAATACAATTATATGTGTAAAAAAATGTGTGCAAATATGCAGTAGCTTTATGGTACTCACACGTCACCACACTGTTTCTTGCACGATACAATTTCATCTTGAGGAACGGATGGCGTATACCTGCTTCGATGAACATACGGTGTGTAACGACGATTGTTAAAACTGTTTGAAAAATACAATTAAATGTGGAAAATGGTAAAGGAAAATATACGATAACTTTGTAGTACTTACACGCTACGCTGTTTCTTGGTGGATGACATTTCCTGAGGAGTGTAATAATTCATTCTTGCTAAGGAAATCTTAAGGCCTATCAGGACACGAAGAAACTGGATGATAAATACGAACTTCTTGTCTAACGATGCGTTCGTGGGTCCCAACGTATTCTTAGCTCTCGATCTCGTATAAAATCTCCTACTGTGGTACAGCGGGCTTCCGGACCGTTTATATACCATAAAAAGTCGCTGTCAGCAGCCAGGTTTCGGCGTTTGAACTCACACCATGAAAAAATAATACGTGTAGCTGTGGTATCGGTGCTAATCAAAGGCATCCTCAGTGATATCTATTACATACCAACGCAGTAGGTGCGAGTTTAAACGCGGAACTCTCTGACATCACGCACCTAGACAAGAAAGTCGCTGTCAGCAGCCAGGTTTAGGCGCTTGACCTCATGACTCATGCAATGGATGCGCGCAGCTGTGTGTCTGCGCTAATCATTTGTATATCGTCATCCCTCGGTGATATCTATTACATGCACGCGCCGCGGATTGCCAAAGACTTTTGTCAGCAGCCAGGTTTCGGCGCTTGATCATACCATGGAAAATAATACGTGTAGCTGTGGTATCGGTGCTAATCAAAGGCATCCTCAGTGATATCTACAGGGTGCGTTCTGAAAGTAGTAGGACTGATTTTTTCCTGGGCACGCGGACGGTCGGACGGCGGTTTCGCCGGGTGGGGTCGATGGAGGGGGGTCTCAGCTAAGGTTGGAACCGCGCGGCAGTCGGCTCCGAGCCCTTCCGTAGTGTAGATCACTTGTACTCGACACCTTTGTCAAGTTACCTCGTAACGCTGCGTCATGGAGCGTTTGTTGGAGCAACGCTACGCCGTGAAATTTTGCGAAAAGCTGGGGAAATCCGGCAAAGACACCCATGATCTCATCAATGCCACTCGAAGACACCGGATCTGCTCATGGCATTATCACCATAAGCTGCCTTGATGAGATCATGGGTGTCTTTGCCGGATTTCCCCAGCCTCACGCAAAATTTCACGGCGTAGCGCTGCTCCAACAAACGCTCCATGACGCAGCGTTACGAGGTAACTTGACAAAGGTGTCGAGTACAAGCGATCTACACTACGGAAGGGCTCGGAGCCGACTGCCGCGCGGTTCCAACCTTAGCTGAGACCCCCCTCCATCGACCCAACCCGGCGAAACCGCCGTCCGACCGTCCGCGAGCCCAGGAAAAAATCAGTCCTACTACTTTCAGAACGCACCCTGTATTACATGCTGACGCAGTAGGTGTGAGTTTAAACGCGGAACTCTCTGACATCACGCACCTAGACAAGAAAGTCGCTGTCAGCAGCCAGGTTTAGGCGCTTGACCCCGTGACTCATAAGAATACCCGTCCAGGTGTTCGCGCTAAAATGTATCGAATGACAGGTCAGCACCTAGATATCTGTTACATGTCACGTAGTGACAGGTCAGCACCTTGCGTGACGTCAAGCATGGGGGGGGGGGAAACTTCTATATGAAAATGTAAACCGTGTTAGTTCATGTTGGTATATTCGCCCAGATGGCGGCTATGTCGTATTTGTGACGTCACATTGGGAAATATGGCTGAATAATCACGCAGAGGATGGTATTTCGTGCACACGAGTAATTATCTGTAAACACGTTTCCTCGCACGGTTATTTTTTTGACACCAAAGAAATCGAATCGCTCGAATACATTGACGTACACAGGTATGAATACATTGCGATTATTTGACCGTAGAGGTTTTAAAATCGCTCGAATATTACCCAGTGAGAAATGATTCGTCGATCGACGTCGAAATGATGTCGAATCGACGTCAGTGACTACGTTTCCACCGAGGGTCAGAGTCGGGCTAGAGTCGGGTCAGAATCGGGTTGGGGTTTGGTGTTTCCACTGCAAAAACGCTCACCCCAACCCGATTCTGACCCGACTCTAGCCCGACTCTGACCCTCGATGGAAACGTAGTCAATTCGACGGTGTCGATGTTGATTCGATGTCGTTTCGACATGTCGTGACGAATCATTTCTCACTGGGCATTGTACTTAATATTACTTTTACATAAACACATGTTTTATATTCAGGAAAGAGAAAGGATTTTATACATAACTGTTGCGTGATTGGATGCTGTCTTCATATCTAATATGGCAAAAGTTAATTGGATTTGCATTGTACCAGGATGTAAATCAAATTCAAGAGCCCCTGGTCATTTTTTTCCAAAAAATGTCACGTTATCGTGTAAGTGGAAAGAAGCTATTAATAATAATATTATTTCAAATGTTTCATCAGAAGAATTAAGGAAATACAGAGTATGTCATGTGCATTTCTTGCCTGATGATTACATTTATTCTCAAAATCGTCGAAGATTGAAACATAACGCTGTGCCCAGCGTAAATATATATAATATAGAAACAAATATAGCAGAAACACATGATACAAATATAACTGAACTGCATTCACAATTTGAAATAAGTGAAGTTTCTGATTTATTAAATGAACAATGTGGAACAAGTACACAAACAAATGCAAAATCTAATAATGAGTTGCAATCTAAAATTAGCATCAATATAAATGAAATCTCTACAAGTAATATAGAATGTGCAGAAACAAATGTGCCACAAAACATTCCAAATGGCTCAATAAATGAAGCAATTAATCATCCCAGCGCACAAAAAAACATCAAGAAGTATACTTGCTTCTATTATCAGACAATCCCTATTAACACCAAATGCACGAAAAATATACAGAAGAGCTGTAATGTTAGCAAAACAAAGAAACCAGATGAAAGCACAAATAGTACGTTACAAACAGCTTCTAAAAGATGCAAAAAAATTTGCAGATACAAAATTTTGCAATAAGTTTAATACTTTAACTCCAACGCAAAGATTATTTTGTAATATGCAATTAAAGAATGTAAAGTATTCTCCTAAGGTAAATTGTAGAAGATTTTTTAATGAACTAAAATCTGCATTACATTCAACGTGTCCAGAACGAAGTTCAATATATTTGAAAAATATACGCTTTAAATTACAATAACTTTATTTTTATTTACAGACAATGA